GGGGCTCTCTGTCAGGACTTATCTCTGGGCACCTGTGTGAAGGCTCTGTCATCCACACAGTGCAGTACAAGATACTGTGTGTACTCCTCAGGGCTGGTTTGCCTTTTTCAGGTGCTCATTTGTCTAAGGTATGGCTGTTTCATTCATTCCCTGCTACTGGAGGTTAAACACCGAATTATCTATACCCCAAGTTTAGAGACATGCATCCTGTTTGAGGTTTGATGCTGTGCTGATGTCTTAGAGATACAGGGGAAATTGAAAAACAACTGCTCTGTTTCCATGACTATCTTTCTAGCCAGGGAGGCAATAAATCTGAAGAAACACTTAATTGAATGGTACACTGTGAGAGGAGAGATGACACTGCTAGAGACTGTGTTACCAGCCAGAGGAGTCAGATCAGGACATTCCAATGATTATCTAATTTCTTCTTCTTTTCTGTCAATAGCTGTTGGGCTAGAACAGCTTCATTACATTTGGCTGCCTCTCACTTTTTTTTAGAGGTGAGAGGATAAATGCTGCCAGTGCCACACTGCAGCACTGGGAGCTCCAACTGCAGCGAACACCGTGACATTGTGCTGCGTTATGCTGAGCGAGCCAGACACTTCTGCTGAGCCCCGGCATTAATGATGTATCAGTGTTTCACTAACTCCCATTCTATTAAAAGAAATGGCAAGATTGGTGTTCGGCACTGATGTCTCTGTTTCTTATCTGCATGGAATTTAAAGTGCCCGTAACTCGACAGCAAATGATATTCTTACATTAAAAAAGATCCCTGTACCCAGCGGCTGATCCCATTACACATTCCTAGCCCCTTAATGCGCTGCTTTCCCATACGGATACATTATCCTTTACCATTTGCCAGCATGGGCCTGGGAGTGGAGTGTAACGGGGGGAGGCAAATGAGGAAACCCAACCTGCTGTGTGGGGTCACACCTTGCCACATGCACGTACATGGAGGGGCCTCAGGCAGGCATGCATGTGCCGCACATCCACACAAACACGAACGTGTTTATTTTTTCCCAGCAAATACCAGTGACCACCTTAGCACTCTCATGTATGCACACTCTCATGTGCAATCCCCCATATCCAGTCAGACAGAGGAAGGGGAAGAATCATTTTCTCCATAAAATGAAATAAAGGTGTTTAATACTAATTAATCCTATCACGCTGCAGTCAAAATCCAGAGAGATGGGGAAAAGAAGGATGGATGTCTCCGTGAAAGATGTCTCTTTATTAGCTAAGCAATATTTTTATAACCATATATATATGTAGAGAGAGAGAGAGAGAAAGAAATTTGAACTTCTATGTGTTTTATTTCTTAGGACCTAATTTGGATCTCATACTATTTACTGAAAAAGACCCCACTTTGTGGAAGTGTTGAACCAAGTCCACCTTCAGGTACATCAGCAAAATCTAAAATATTGATCAAACCCAAATGAGGACAGAGAGGCTGGTAAAACCAACTCTGCTGTTATTTGCTCTTTATAAACTGATGCTTTCCTTTCAAATTACACTAGAAAAAAAAATCCAAATATATATTTTCACAACTGAAAAATGCTTGATGCATTATAAAATACTGCTGCAAATTTTCCAGTAAAGCAATCATAACAGATATACATCTACCTAAGTTGTGCACATAAATATCTGATGCAAATTTTGTGTTTACCAGCAATAATAATAATAATAGTAATAGCTCAATTTATCAGTTAATATGCCAAAGGTAAATAAATGGCATACACATTTATAGTATGCCATTATGTAAGATATTTACACAAGGTAAATATCTTTATGCAAATAGTAAGCATAGACTTAATTTTCAAAACTTAGTCCTAAAGTTTTGTAAAAATTGGAAATATCAAGATGAAGCCAGGTTATCAAATATTCAAGATCAAATGTTGACTGTTAACCTCAGTCCAGTCTCAGTAAGAAGATGTTTGACTTTATCTTTCCTATTAAAGAAAGTTCTAACCAGATCAGACCCATTTTCTCTCTATATAAACTCATGCCATACATGTCCATGTTTTACTAATAAGATGTATCACTGCCTTCAGAGAGGTTAACATGTAGCCAGCTGAGTGTTCTCTGTCCAGATATTCCCATGTCCAAGTGTGATTAGCACCGTCTTGTCAAATTTAGCTCTAAGCCATTTGTGAACACCTTCTTTGTTTGTAGTAGCACACTCAAACCTGCACAGACCTCTGTGTTTGCTCTTCTGTGTATCCTATTAACAGTGCATTACATTTCAAGATGTCAAACTGCGGAAAGCCACAAAAGCACTTTTAATCAATTTAAAGCAAACTGAGGTAATTGCTTTTGTTCTGGATACACACTGCTTGGTTTATGTTCTCAGAAAACGAAATCATGTTTTTAGTTCTACTGCTGTAAATCCAAAATGACCATGCAAGAGTTCTTATCACAATTGCAACTGTTCAATTGTAATTACACAGTAAGTCCTATAATAAGTAGACTTTCGCTAAATAAAATTGAACCCTGTAAGTTTTTAGATATGATCTGCTTGGAAAATGACAAGAGGAAATAATTAAATATATATATATATATTCATGGCCTTGAGAGATATTTTTAAAAAGCTGTGAACCAATGGGATACACAAATATTTTTATTATTGCATAAGAGAGTAAATAAAAGCACACAACACCATTTTTCATTTTTGATTCCACTCTGATTTTACAACACAATGTATTGGATCCTGACTCCCGGGTGTACATTACTAAAGGCAGTTTAGTTACACATGTGCAACCAAGAAAAACCTTCAGCTCAGCAATTACACTTCTTTAATAAGAAAGGAGAACACAGTTTTTATTAGAACAAGTAAGAATGCATGAGGACACTGACTCTACTAGACTTCGTGTTGAATTCAGAACTTTCTGCTATTAAATGTAAAATATATATATATTTAAGTGTGTTTATTACTCCCATTTGACCAACTGCTTGCTTGGTTACTGTAGCTTCTGCAAACAATGGTTTCTGCACAATTAAAGTGCAGCTCAGATCATAGTTTACAAGTGCATTGTTACTTTTGTTCTGCGCACAAGCTGAAGAAGAAAAGACAATGAATAAAATCAATCTTCTATTCTTGTTTTAAGAATTTTTAGCCTATATTTCAAGGTCTATTGGAATATGGCATAATATTGGGTTCTTTTTTTCCATGGTGACAATGATAGTAAGTCGTTATTGCAAATACAGACATTTGTATTTCTGTCAATAAACAGGACTGCATCACTAAACTGTAGGGCCAAGAAGAGTCATATAGTGTGAAAATATGCAGAGGGAACAACAGCTGCTAGTCATTATTTTCTCCTTATCCTTTCAACACCTCTGTGTCAGTTTGTTTTTTAATGGGTAAATCACACTTTCTTCATAGGACATTTTCTCATTTTGGGCTGATACTAAAGAGAATTCTAAAACAATTAAGGGTCATTGGCCAAAGACACGTTTGTGGTTTTGTTTTGTTGTGGTTTTTTTTTGCTTTTACTGCACATGTTGATACCCACTTTTATGCTTTATCACACAAATAATACTGATGTTGAGTTCTATTATTCTATTCTTGCTGCTAATATGATGGATGAGCGGATGTTTCTGCTTTTCTTTAGGCAACAAACCGTGCCTCTATTCCTTCTCTTCTTGTACAGCCTGTGTTGTAGTTCTCAAAAGAGAAATACCAACTACAGAAATTATTGCTCTCACTTCATCTAGGCAAAAGAAGAATCTGCCATTAGACAGCTTTGAAACATCTGTTTTACACTTCACATCTTCTGACGAAGTTTCACAGCAGCCATTTGGAAACAGAAGAAAATTAGATACCATCTTGCTTATGATGAACTTACTGCACAAGCCACTTCCCTCCAGTCTCTGCTTCTCCTAACTGTAGGATGAATATTTACAAACAGTTTGAGCCTTTTGTTCACTCTTATTTTAGTTAATCTTATTTTAGGGCATGGTGAAAAGGAGGTGGGAAAAATGCAGACATCTGCAAACATAACAGTGCAGTAAAATTATTCTGGAAATTGTATTCTTTTATGCATTTGGCTTAACCCTAAGATTCTTTTTTTTTTTTTTCACTGTGAACTACATTTTCCTTTAATTACTTCTAAAGTTATAATCATTATGATTTTTTCCACGTGGTCAAATGGTATAAACCTCCAAAATGACAGAATACACCCGCTGCTCAAGGTGGAACAGATCACAGCATGCATAAGCTTAAATGCCTGCACTGTTGTATCTGTTTCTTTCATAGCAAGAGGCTCCTTTTCTTCAAAGACAATTCAGACTACATCTGTTTTAGACTTAAAGACCTGAAAACGTGCTATTGCCATATTTAATTAATGACTACATTTCCCACAAAACTTCTAATATGCAGCGTTTTTACAGCAGGTACCGCTAATACTATTTAGTGAAATGGACTGTGCTGAAGACACTGGAAGAAGGCACAAGTCACCTTCTATCTGTGGCTATCCTTAGGCAGTGCTAAAGTAGACACACTCTTCATGGCTAAGCTGAAAAAGGCACAATATTACTCCACAGGGTACAGTGCCTCAGACTTTAGCTGAGTCTTTTAGTGGGCAATAAATTACGGGGTTTGAAGCTGTCCTTCAGAACTAGGGCAGCTCCATCCCTCCAACCTGCCTGGCTTCCCCAGGGCTGGTACTACTGCTATTTACTAGCTCTTATATGTGATCACTGCTGTTGCTCACACGCATCAGTGACTGCGATCTTGGAAAGAGAAGGAAAAAAGAAAAAAAAAAAAAGGAGGGGGATAAAAAAGAGAAATAAAAAGGAGCTCCCTCGGTACTGGGGAACACGCTACGAGTTTGGTATAAAACCTCGTGCGTGTAGCAAGAGCATCTGATGCTGGCAGCGGAATAAAGTGCCAGGAGCGTATGAAAAAGAATAAAAAAAGGCACGTTTCGGTAAAAAATACCCTATAAAATGCCGCTGTGATAGCTGACGATGCTGCCTCGGGGGGGACATGCCACGGGGAGTATCGGGAGGTGGCGAGCTAGGGAGCAAGGACCCCTGGAAGAGGCGTTTTCTCCAGCACCCCGGGGTGAAATTCCTCTGTGTGCGAGCACGGGGGACCCTCGGGGAAAAAGGATCAGGGTTTTAGGGCGAAGAGGCTGCCCTGGCGGCGGCAGGGCGGGGGCGATAACGCCCGGCGCCCCCTCGCCTCGCCCCTCCCGCCGCCCCCCGTTCCCACAGGGGCTCCCCCCGAGGCCGGGCAGCGGCCATGTGTGACTGTGAATCACCTCTGGGGTGTGATTCACACCCCGTCGCCAAACCTTCCCCCCGACCAGGGGCCATCTGGGGCATGCACGCGTCCGCGCCCCGCGTTTACACGGCGGCGCCTGTTTGTTGATGGCGCTGGCAGACGAGCCGGGGGAGGTGGGCTCCGCCGCCGCGGGCTATAAAAGCAGCCCCGGGCAGGGCGAGGAGAGGCGAGGCGGTGGCAGGAGCCGTGTGGTGGAGCATGGAGGTCGGCGGGGTGCGCTGCGGCTGCCCCCGGGGCTTCTCGCCCCTCTCAACCCCTTCGTCCCCCCCGCGCTGCTGCTGCTGCCACCGCCGCCGCCATCACAGCGGCCTCACCGCCCTGCCCTCGCCCCGCAGCCCCGCGCCCTTCTGGAGGCCCTGGCTGCCCGGCCCCGCTGTGGTGAGTGGGGCGGCTCGGCTCGGCTCTAAGGGGAGCTGTCGGGGGCCGGGGTGGGGTGGCGGGGGCTCCGGGCCGGCCGCGGGGGTGACCTCTGCTCTCTCGTCCCCAGCCCCGCAGCCCCCGCGGGCTGGCGCAAGGCTCCCGCAAGCTGGCGCAGTACGCGCACCCCGTCAGGTAAGTGCCGGCGGAGCGCCTCTCCCACCCTTTTTTTTTGTTTGTTTTTTACACATGGATAGGTGTTAAGGTAGTTTTTGGGTGGTTTGGGCTCTTCGCAGTGCTATTCTGGGCGGCAGGCCCTTGTGCAGGTTGCCAGCACTTGTGGATTTGCTTGATCTTTAAGCTGTCAGCGTGCTTCTAGGGTCCGGGGCTTTGTCGCTCTCTAAGTTGTCTGGTTTTTTTGGGGGTTGTTTTGTTCGGTGAAACACGCTGCTACTCATTCCTGTGCCCAGGGTTACAAAAGGTGGGATGAAGAACACTCCCTAGGCTGTCTTGGTGTGCCCATGTCCTCCCAGCGCAGGTGTGGGAGCGAGTGGCAGGAGGAGAGGGTATGAAACAAGCCAGCACTGCCAAGAGAAAAGCTCGTGTAACTAATTGGTGCTTTAATGGTGATGGTAGTGATGGTATCTGCACTGTCAGTCTGAAAAAATGAGTAAAACTTACAGCTGAATCTGTATTCAGAAGCACTCGGGGTCGTTGCAAGGTGCTTTGTGTAACTGCACAGGTAGCTCATCCAGGTAAGGTGCAGCTTTCTCCCAAATTTAGGCTCTGATCTGTCAAATACCGAAGCACAGGCGATTTAAGCAGTTATGCTGGCTGATTTCTGACACTGCTCTCGTGCATGAGTGAATGCTGCAGGGAGCACTGGGAGTGAGATGGTACAAAGCAAGCGTGCTCTGTGCTGCAGAGGAAGATGTGCTCTGTCAAGCTGCAAGCTAGAAAGCATTTTTGTGTTTGCTAGAAAACCCTCTAGTTCTCTTCCTTAATGTATTTCTATTTCGAACAGTCTGTAGTCAGCATTTAATTATGTTGCATTGTGCCAGTCTCTGAGCTCTTGGGACTTCCATTTGTCTATTTCTTGCAGTTACTCCCAAATAGTAAGCAAGAGGATGTTAGCTGAACAGCAGCATATGTAAGGTGGAGTAACATCACTAGCTGATAGCCTTTGTGACATTTTATTATCAGCAATTCTTATGCTAATTTATGGATACAGCATGGACTACTTTAAAATCTAGACCTAGGTGGTACCTTCTATAAGAAGTCAGTGGATAATTCTACTTGGACAGACAAGACTGTGGGGAAATATCAAGGCCTGATCCTCTTAGACTTATAATTCTTTTCACCTTGAGACTTGTTTCAGACCACTGTAAACAACAAGCAAGATTGACCATTACTAATAAAACTACTAATCCAAATATTTGGGGGATCATGTTTGACACCCATTATATTCCCTAGGAATTGTTCCAGTGAGGGCAGTACTATTTGGATTAGATCCTCATGAATACTGTTAATGAAGTGCTGGAGTGGTAAGTTTCAGATGTGGATCCTGGGCTTTAGAATAGTTTTGCTGCAATACTAGTGTTTTGAGGGCATGTTTCTTTCTTCAGATGAAAATACGCAATCCAGAGAACATTTTTTCTACTTAAATGTAGAGATTAGTTTCATGACTGAGCATGTGAGGGGAAAACTCTGTAGCAAAGCTTGTCTGTTAACAGAACTTCACTGCTGTCTCTTGTCTGTCAGCCTCCAAGTAGAACATAATAACAATAAGCAAATTGACCTGTATGCTTATTTCAGACTATTTTGGCCCAAATCGAGGTGCTATGATTATTTATACCAGGAAGCTGAAGCACTTCTGAAAAACTTTCCAGTTCAAGCTACAATTTCCTTTTATGAAGACTCGGACAGTGAAGATGATGAAGATGACCTGGAACAAGACTCAAGAACAGAATCAGACTGCTGACTGCAAGAAAGGCCAACCAAGGATACTTCTAAGATTTAATTTAAACTTAATATAAAAATGTATTATAGTATTTTTAAATATAATTTATTTGTATGTAACTTATTCTTAATAAAACTGGAATGTTTTGTAACTATATCTGAGCCTCTTCGTTTGGCTTAGTCCCTTCCTGCTTCTAGGCTGGGAAGGTATTGATTAGTGTTTTTGTCTAAGGTCCAGGATTTTGTAGAGTATGAACTTGATGAATTTGGACATCAGTATTAGGAGCAGAGAACTGTATGGCTTTTTAAGTGCTCTGGTCATGTAGCTTCCTCAGAACTTCAGGAAACAAGGAAGACTTTGCTCTGTGCCCCATGTGGAAGCCTGTCAAGGAATCGTATTGGAGTAAGTATTCTAATGCTGTGTTGTTATGAAGGATTTTCGAAGATGGAAAAGAAACAACATAGCTGCTTTTGAGATGCAGAGGGGAGTCCAAATCCTACTTGTTATGGTTATTCAATTTAGTCTTTATTTTTATGAAGGGGTTTAAGTTATTTGTGTTCTGTGGAGAGGCCCCTGGTGGAGCAGGCTGTCCCCCTGCAGCCCATGGGTCCCACATGGAGCAGATCTCCACGCTGCAGCCCCCCCATGGGTGGAGGAGCCCCCGGGGGAGCAGGTGGATGTGGCCTGGAGGAGGCTGCGGCCCATGGAGAGCCCCCGCAGGAGCGGGCCCCGCACCCCGCTGCAGGCACCGCTCCGGTCCCCGCCCCGTCCCGCTGACACCGCCCCATCCCGGCCCGGCCGTGTCGCGGCGCCTGCGCCCTGCCGCGGCTCTCCCCGCCCGCCGGGGCTGCCGGGGCCGGGCAGGATGCTGAACGTGCCGCCGGGGGCCTTCCCGGCGCCCAGCTCCCAGCAGCGGGTGGCTGCGGGCGGCCGAGCCAAGGTAGGGAGCGGGGAGCCGGGAGCAGGGAGCGGGCGCGGCCGAGGCTGCGGGCCCAGCGCCGGGCTGGCCGCGGGGCTCCGAGCTGCCGCCCCGGCGGCCTCCCCCGCTGGGGCTCAGCCCAGCCCGGCTCGGCTCCTCCTGCCGGCCCCCAGCCCTGGAGGGCGACCAGGGGGGAAGGAGAGGCGGTGACAGCGGCCCCGGCTCGGCTGCGGAGCTGGCAGTGCCTCCTGCTTCGCTTTTGGAGGCTGCCGGTGGTGAAACCCTTCCCGTGCGGCCTAAGGAAGGTGGTAGAAATCCTTCAGGTCTTGTTCTGCCTCTGTCCCTGGTAAGCCAGCAGATCTCGCCCCCACCTCTCTCAGAGCAAGGTTCCCAGTTGCTGTAGGGCTTGCAGGTGGTCTCCTCGGATGCTGTGGAGGTGAGGAACTTCCCAACCTTTTCCTACATAGCCGTGATTTTCAAATCTCTTTTCTTTGTTGCTCATAAGTACCAGGCCATAACCCAAATGACACTGATAAATCTTTTTACTGACCCAGGAAGATTGGGTACCTGCAGTTTGCTTTGGGAAGACTTCTCTAAACATTTGACGTTCGAGAATTCCCTCGCTTGGGTTATGAGATAGGAAGCTTCCTTAAGCAGCCTTACTGCTGTGTAGGGCTCCCAAAGGTCATAAAACTGTATGGGTTGTGTTATTTCTTGTTTTTCCCATCTTCATTGGGAGCTCAGGAAAGTGTATTGAATGGCTTTTTCTTCCTTTACAGCTTAATAATGTTGGTGCGTTTGTTATTTTCCAGGTACCTTTAAAACCAGGAAGGAGCCTAATGGATTGGATTCGATTAACTAAAAGTGGAAAGGACTTGACTGGTTTAAAGGGGAGGCTGATCGAAGTGACTGAAGATGAGCTTGCTAAACACAACAAAAAGGAGGACTGCTGGATATGTATAAGAGGTTGGTTGCTCTGATGGTGCTTCTGCATTTTTTGTTTAACCTCTCCTCTGTACGTATAACTAAACGGCAAAAAAACAACAAAACAAGGTGATGTCTCAGGCAACTAGGGTTCATCAAGAACAAGGTGCTAAAGATGCTGACTTGTACTTACAGTCTCAGTCCTGGAGTGTTTATTATCCTTAGCAGCTGAAGATTTTTGCTTTAAAGCATGTAGAGACATAAAAATCTATTAAAAAGATGTTTAGATCTGTAGGATGGTCTTTGGGAAATAAGCGTGTGTAGGCCCATGTACTACTTCAGAAAAATTTTAGAAAGGTGAGTGACAATTGCCATACAGAGCAGTTGTTGCTTTTATCTGGCATAACAAATACCTGCGGTAATCGACTCATGCTGTTTGTTATTACTTCTATGAAATTTTAGCTCAAAAGTTGGAATTACTGTGTGGTGTACAATGACAATGTGCTAAAGGTGGTTTGAAGCATTAGCCCTGGCTAGAAGAGTATTTTGTGTACTGAAAGTGAAGTTCCTAGTTGTCTTAGAGAAAGTAGGAAAATATTTGCTCTCCAGTTTAATCATTTAGAGACTAAAATACATTAATGTTGCTTTAAATTTGCTACGATGACATCGTACATTTGCTAATGTCATCTCTGAACTCCAGCAAAATTAAGCTAAGAAGTTCTTTACAAAGGTGACCTTTGTTGGGTCAAAAAGAGGGGTGAGAGTGAAAGTAAGAGTAAAATGTCCATTGGTGTTAGCTTTTGAGCAAAATAATAGCATTGTTAATGCTCTGTGTACTGCTCTTGCACATAATAGCAAAACTATAGAGGGAGGAGAGCTAAAGAAAGCCTCTTTACTGTAGAGGATTGTTTGTATCCTTTTCAAAAAACCACACATCTACTACTGAGGGCAGAATCACCACTTAAAAATGCCTCAGTTCTGTTTTTAATCTCTTACTCTCCCTAGATTGCATCACTGAGGCTTCTTTTTGCAAGAACTCCATTACACTGCTTCTGTATTTGCCTTTAATTTTTCACATCTCTGCCTTTTTTGTTGTTGTGGAACTACTAAAGAAAATAAAAGCAGCATAACTGAGAATCCTGATAGACTACCTGTAGACCTGATATGAGGACAAGTATTAAAATAACACCACTGTGGAAAAGCTAAATGAAGTCTTTGTATTGATGTAGTTAAACCTGTGGCTCTCTAGGAAAGCAGCAGAAATTGAGAGGAACATGAAGAAGAAGAAAATCAGGAGCTAACTGTTCAAAAACGAGTAGGGTGTTCATCAGAGAGCTGTCCTATAGGGTGTGAGTATATAAAATGGGATGGTAGGGGGCATAGAAAAGTGTGAAGGGTATATAAATGAGATTTCTTTTGCTCAGTGCAAGCCAGAAGCTAAATTAAACATTTGGCTAATACTCAGGAGTTCCTAATTAGTTGGATTTTCCCTAGTGTGTTTTCTTGTGTGCAGTAATCAACGCTGCTCACAAGGTGGCACAGTGGATACATGCATCAAAAGAGAAGGTCTGCAAAATGCAAAAGGACTTTCTTTGTCCAGGAGGGTTCTTACAAACTAGGATTGTCCCAAGTTTGTGTCTCCCCCCACCCAGTGCTGAATGCCTACATCTTTCTCTGAAGTCATGTTTTTGTTTGGTTGTTTGTTTTTAAATGTGTTACAAACTTATTATGTAAACACTGTTACAGTTCCACTTCGGTAGCTTCCTGTTTTGATAATGTTACATTTCTTGAAATATTCTGCTGGGTAGACCTGCAGTAGTTGTGTAAGAGCAGCAATGTGTCTGTAGTTAAATCTGTAGTTAAACGTTTATAGCAGCATTCTCCAAGCTCTAATTACTCTGGTTGCATAGCAACACTAATTAGACTTCATTATTTCAAATCTATGAAGCATTTTTTTATCTTACTAGAATTACTAAGTGTAGTACTTGCTTAGAAAGAATGCTGAGTCCTTTTATTGGGGGCAAATTTGTTACAAGTGTTATCAGCCTTTAATGAGCATAGAGTATGTTTACTTTTTTATGTTGCTGAATCTGTACAATGGAAGTTTTGCTGCTGATGGCAGCAGTTTTTCTTTGGAGAAGACAGCTTCCTCCCATAGGCGTTTTATTCCATAGGTGATGGGTGGCAGGGAAGCCACTGTGACAGCACATCAGTGGTAATTTAATTGGAAGGGACTAGCTAAAACAATTCTGTGCACTAACTGGCTCAATTTCATGTCTTTGTTTAAATTGACTTCTGGCTCTCATACCCCTTAACTAGACTGTAACACCTTCAGGTGTTTGTTTTGTTCAACTCTTCACATTTTCACTAGATGTATACTTGGGACAAGTGGAACGTCACTGTAGAACTTGACACCTCTGTTTAATAAGATACGTCTTGGGCATTATTAGATCATGTAACTTCTGTTTCTAGTTTTGGAAAGTCATGCTGTTTGTTCTGAAGGTGTCTGTTGCTTGACATTACGCTGTGTAATACACAGAAACCTTTCCACTGGTTTTGGAGCTGGGAGAGTAGTCGCAGTGGTTGTGGAAATGTTACTCACCTGTTTTTATATTCTGTTTTCTGCAGGACTTGTATATAATGTCACACCGTACATGGAATATCATCCTGGTGGTGAGGATGAACTAATGAAGGCAGCAGGAACTGATGGTACAGATCTTTTTGATCAGGTGAGAACAACTGGCAGCGAATGGCACTTGCTCACCAAAAGGTATTTAGAAAAAATGCATGTTTTCTGATTCTTTTAGAGCATTCCAGTGGAAATGGTGGTTCAAACCTTTTGAGGTCCAAGGGACCTGTTGGTTTACAGTTCAGAATTGCACTTATATGTACTGAAAGAGGCATATAATTTAAATTTTGTATTTAAAAAAAAAAATATGAAAATGTCCCTTTATGCTGTTGAGATTATGCTTCAATTTGACCATTTTATTAAATTTATTTTTTTAGCAGAAGTAGCAAGTAAACTTGCAACAACTTGAGGATACTACTGCCTGTATTAAATTGCTGCATTCACTAATGGCTGTCAGCTGAGAAGCATTTTCTTCTCAGATAACTTTTTTTTTTTTTGACAAATACGTGCAGTATTCTTTTGTCTGTTAACTTGGTTATTGCATTATCAGCAAACAAATTATTAAGAAAAAGTGTTGGGGCTGCTCTTAACTGATTGTGAACAAATCACAAAATGACAGTTGGTCTCTTCTTTGTTCCCCATTTTAAATGTTTTGAAAAGACTGAAAAGAAAAGGTCTGCAAAA